TTTCCCCTCTCAAGACATCGTTCAATACAGATCTAAAAAGAGAAATATATAAAAAGTTATTTTTAAAAAGATATGAATTTGCCAGTCTTTTAAACCTGAAAAGAGAAGAAAGTTCGAAGAGATTACCAACAAAACCCTGCATTAAACCCAATGTGTTTAATTCATTAATCAACATGCAAAGTTGAAACATGTGGTTCAATTTATATAAACTAGGTTAAATAAGTACAGAGCATAATAAGAATTCATTCATGACTCAGTTTTTCCTGTGTATTTTTTTTCAAACCGCAATAAAGAGATGATCTCTATGTGTATGGTTCCATCTATTATTAACTTATTAGGTATGAATTACATGCGTCAAACTTTGTTCCATTTTTGCTTACTTTTTGATAATTCCATAAATATCCAAATATTTAAGAGTTAACATATATGCATTTGAATAAAGTATCCCTTGTTAATCGTGAATAAACATTCCTTAGTTATAAAGCTGTGGTAACATTCTAAAATTAACTCTGAAGAATAAGTGAAAACATATTTTTGGGGGTTGGAAAAAGAGAGTTACATTTTAAAACAACTCAAAGGCTGCAGCAAGTCTCTCCACCACAGGCACATTTGCAATTCAACCTAAGAATAGTCAACTTCCTTCAAGGCAGTACTGCTGATTCTTATTCTTTCAGGCCGTTGGCATTAATTTAATAAAGTTTATATTACAGCTGTCATACAGAGTCAGGCCCTTTAATTAAATGATTCCGGGGAAAAAAAAAAAAAGATACCGAGAAATTCATTTAGTTATTCAAAAGTACGTCTGGGTATGTTATTAGAAGTACCAGAAAGAAAAAGACTGCTTTCCTGCTTTTTTTCATTTCACTCTTAGAAGACAAATCAGGCTATCATACATGTTTCTTTAAAGTAGAAAGTTTTCCCAACTTCCCAGAAATGTGTGTTTCTTTCCCAGTAAACGACATCCTAAGGCAAGATACTCTCTGATAATAGTGCCTACTCAAGAAGTAACAATGCAGCTTCATTACCTAGCATGGTATGAGTCAATTCTTAACGCAAAACACAAATTCTTGTTATTTTGAAAATAAAGCAAATTTTAGGCCCACAATATTGCTGATGCCAAATAGCTTAAGACAGTGCTGTTCTGTGCATCCAACTTACCAATTCAAAAATTACTGCTGTCAATATAAAATGTAAATATAAGTGAAACAAATCACTTTCTTTTTCTCTAATAGTTGACCATCAGCTGTTTAAAGCCCATATAGGCAGATGAAGATTTTCATTACCTCATTATTACAGTCAAAAAACAAAACGAAAGATACATCAGCCTTCCCATCCATGGTCTTGTTCCAACCTTGAAGGTTGTCTTGATTTCTTGGAAACCCATCAATCAAGAATTTATTCTTCTGAGCATTGGCCGCCATCATCTGATCCATTTCCTAATGAAAAAGGGAAGATTTAAGTTCAACACTACATTAATGCAATTTCTTAAGCAGAGTGGTAGCTATATGGGTGTGTTTTATTATTATTCTTTAAATCATAAGCATGGAGGGTGCATAGGAAAAAAAAGACTTAAAGGAAATAACATGTTTGCCTCAAGCTGGTAGAGTTATGGTTATGTATCCCCCATTTTATACACATACACACACAATTTTTTTCTGTAGTTTTAAAATTTTCTACAGTTAAGCATATATTATTTTCATGAAGTTATAAACAGCAAAAAGAGAAAAATAAGCATTAACCAGTATCTTTGCTCCAGTCAACAGAGACCCTTATCTTGCCTTCCCTTTCCTCTTCCCAGGTCATTTTGCTATGGTAGGAAGTATGCTGCTTCTATAGGTACTCAGATTCTCTGCAATAATTCAAGTCCAACTGCAAAAAGCTTTGGATATATAAAGAGATTGCTAGCATTAATTATTAGTGTAGGAGTCAATACTTTTTTTTTTTTTTTAAACTGAAGCTAATTTAAACCTAAATGCCACTGGCCACCCCAAAACACAGAGAGCAAAGGAAACAATACATTCAGAAAGACAGCAAGAATTGCACATTTCACCATCCTCTTCCAAAGTCTGAATTTAGGTAGAATGTGGAAATATGTGACTGGGAGATGCAGATCTCGAATCTCCAAATCCTTACCACTATCAATCACCATGAGATAAGCACAGATGCATGCCTTCGACAAACCCCAGAGGAGCCTCTACTCTAAAGCAAACCGACATCCAGTTCCCTCAGTGCTCAAACTTTCCTGATTCCTCAAGAAGAACAATGGCTGTCAGGACCCCTAATTCCTTTATCTGAGGGTTGGCTTTAACCCAGCATCTAGCTTCTCCAATATCCACAAAATTTCACAGAATGCTTTTGGACTCCTGCTAGAGCATTTCTATCCCAATTATGGTAGTAGAAGATATCTGAAGGGGTACATCAACATTCTACTCACTCAACATACACTCATTCAAGGCCTACCATCAGGGAACATGAAGAGCAAGGCCATAGCCCCTGGCGGGCTCACAGTCCGGTGGGTAACAAATATGTGTAAGTAAATGTGCTAAGTTCTATACTGAGGTATGCAAGGATGCTGTGATAAAACGAAGCACAAACTACCTGAGAAACTGCCAGGAAGAGCTTTACCAAAGAGGTGGCAGAGGAGCTGAATTCTGAATAATGAAATGGCAGGCAGACAGGGATCAAGGTACTCCAGATGGTGTCAACTGGATGCTAAAGGCTCAGAAATGAAGAAGCATAACAGCTTTGATGAATCTGAAATAAGCTGGTAGAGGTGAACCTTAGGATGCGTGTAGAGAGTGGAAGGAGAAATGACTAGAAAGTAGGTAGGGCCAAAATTAATGAAGAACTTGTTATACCACACTAAGGATTTGGTTTTTATTCTGCAAGCAATACAGGACCACTGAGAAATTTTAAGTAGTAGAAGAACATGCTCCCATCACCTTTAGAAAAAAAAATCACTGACTGTACCATGAAGGATGGATTAGAAGGGGACAAAGATGGATTAAAGGCAAAAGACTAATGATAAGGCTCTAGTGATGGTCCAAATAAGAAAAAAAGAGGATCTTGGGACTTCCCTGGTGGTGCAGTGGTTAAGGATCCACCTGCCAATGCAGGGGACACGGGTTCGATCCCCAGTCCAGGAAGATCTCACATACCGCGGAGCAACTAAGCCCATGCACCGCAACTACTGAGCCTGCGAGCCACAACTACTGAAGTCCGCATGCCTAGAGCCCGTGCTCCACAACAAGAGCACGGGCTTGCAATGGGAAGCCCGCACACCACAACGAAGAGCAGCCCCTGCTCGCCGCAACTAGAGAAAGCCTGCACACAGCAACGAAGAGTCAACGCAGCCAAAAAATAAATAAATAAAAAATGAAAAATACACTTCAGTGATTGATTTCCCAACATAATGTCTGCATTCTTCCCAATATTATTAAAAAAAAAAGACAAAAAGAGGATCTGAACTAAGATGATAGTACTAATAGAGGAGAAAAAAAACTATCAATAGGGCTTCCCTGGTGGTGCAGTGGTTGAGAGTCCGCCTGCCGATGCAGGGGACACGGGTTCGTGACCCCATCTGGGAAGATCCCACATGCCGCGGAGCGGCTAGGCCCGGGAGCCATGGCCGCTGAGCCTGTGCGTCCGGAGTCTGTGCTCCACAACGGGAGAGGCCACAACAGTGAGAGGCCCGCGTACCGCAAAAAAAAAAAAAAAAACTATCAATAAATAGAAGAGGATAAAGAGAAAGATAATTGAAAGGATCTGCTCACTGAGTGGATCTGGGAAATTGAGGAAGAGGTGGAAAATACAGGATGGCTCCCAGATTTCTGGCTTGGGCAGCTGGGTAGATGGTAGAACCATTAACCAGGATAGGAAATAAAGGGTGATCACATTTTAGATGATACAGTCAGACTCAGACATGTTGATTTTGAGATACTTGTGAGACATTCAGATGGATGCCTAATAGTTAGTTAGAAATATAGGTCTGGGGAATTCCCTGGCAGTCCAGTGGTTAGGACTCCATGCTTTCACTGCTGGTGGTGCAGGTTCGATCCTTGGTCAGGGAACCAAGATCCTCCAAGAGGCGGAGTGCAGCCAAAAAAAAGAAAAGAAAAGAAATATAGGTCTGGAGTTCAGAAAAAGAGATTTGTGCTAGACTTATAGATAGATTCTGGGATCATTAGCACAGTGAAAACCTTGGACATGGCTAACAACATCCAGCAAGAAATGCATAAAACAAGAGGAGGACCAAGGATGAAACCCCGAGAAGCATCATGGTTTAAGAAACTTGCAGAAGAAGAGTTATCAAAGGAGACTTAAGAAATAGCAGTCACTGAAGGAGGAAGAGAATCAAGAGAAATGGTGTCACAGAGAACAAAGGAGGAACAAGTTTCAAAAAGACAGGAAGTTAAAGGTTACAAGAAAAGTGACTGAAAATATCCCCTAGATTTGATAGAGGTCACTGGTAACATCAGCAAGAATAGTTTCAATGAAGATGGAAATAGAGTCTTAGTGCAAAGAGCTGAAGAGTAGAAAATGAAAAAGTAAAAAATGTAGACTATTCTTTCACAATTAAGCATAAAAGTGGAGAAAGGGCATTAAATCCAGAGAATGAGGAGAGAGGATTTAGTTACTCTGAATGGAAGCAGGTTACTCCAATCTCTGAAACAAGAGTTAAGAATGTGTGTGAAAGAGCCACTCTTCAAGTCTCTCTGGTTCCAATCAGAAGCTCGTGTATCTCTTTTCCGTTGGGCTTCAACTATTTCTTGCTGTGCCCACTCTTCCATTTCTCCTTCACGTTTCTTGTATGTGAAATATCTATTAATGACTATAATCTTGAGAATCTATACTGGAGAGTTATCATGTAAATGCAAGGTATCTGTTTTTAGATGGGACCTATTTTAGTTTGACAGCTGTTAGTCTCAGCATTTCACACTGAAGATGGTGATGCATGCACCAGAAAAGGAAACATCAAGACTGAGAGAATGGCAACACTGGGAGGGTCATGGGAGGGAGAGAGGGAGGGAAAGAAAGAGGGAGGAAAAGAAAGAGGGAGGGACAAAGTCTGGAAGAAAACAGAAAAGGGCAAGGAGGAAAAAGAAATAGAAATGGAAGGAGGATGGATTGTCCGCATGCTGGGAAGGGTCAAATGTACACATATGAATGTTCAGTTGTAGCTGATCCTAGACCAAGGTAGAGAATGTTTCCTACTGTCCAATTTCTTCCCAGGTGAAAGTGGAATTTCCAGTTCTGCCATTCTCAAACACCAGGACCACCCTCCACAATCAAGAAATTCAATACTCTGATTTTTTTCATTACTCAAAGGGAAGGCAGATTTAATTTCTCAGTTCCTTGTTGGTTTTAACTGGTTGGCATTCACACTCCTTACCCTCCTCAACAAACTGATGGTTATCTCAACTGGCACAATCTTTCCATCTTTAATGTACTTTTCAATGAGTTCACCATACTGTGAATCTGGGTTCTTCTTTTCATTACGAAGAAGCTCTCCTGCAGAAAGGTGTGTGTAGCCATATTTCTGAAAGAACAAACACATAGGAAAAAGATCAAAATACATTCAACCCAGGGTTAGGACTACTGCTTGTTTCCCTTCATGGTAACTTTTATATTCTAATTTTTCTATAATAAACAAGCTTTGCTTACATAATAAATAAATAATAAAGAAACACTGAAGAGAGATTTCATACAATCCAGTTTGCTTAAAAAATATCCTTAACCTACGTAGCATATGGTAGCTATAATGTTCACAAATCATGCAATCAACCCGAAACTTATTTAACTATTCAAGGCATTAACAGCTCATCATATTCCTTCACAAAGTTTAAATGTTATTAATAATGTTCAAAGAAATGTCTAACAAAAATCTATATAATTCAAGGCAAAACCCCCAAAATCTTACCACAGTTGGCTGTACCCACCTTCTATAAGATGCTCCCTTCCTTAAATTCAACACATCTAAATTGAACTCATCAGCACTTACACAAACCCCATTCTTCTGTTTTGTTCCCTTTCTCAGTAAACAGTACAAGTCCTACCCCTCCATGAAATTAGCTTTCCTGACCACTCTGGAGAGTGGACACATAATCAAATAGTGTCTTAGAATATCACTGTCTCTCCATCTAAACCAGTATCTTCTTTACCACTCTCAAAAGTCCATTTCCCACCTTTCTAGTTGTGACTAGAGAGGTCTCATCTGTAAAATGGGAATATAGATACCTATTTTATAATTCAGTGGTGATGATTAAATGAGATAATGTATTTATATAAAATGCCTACCAAAGAGCCTGACAGGTAGCAGGAGATAAAAGCCATCAATTACCTCCTTGCCATCATGAAGATACTTATCTTAAATAACCTGGAAGCATTTTTATATTATATATACACACCATTTTTATATTATTACATACACGCGTGTGTGTGCATGTGTGTGTAAATATATGCATTCACTTTAAAGGTTTTTGGGTTTTTTTAAAAAATAAATTTATTTATTTATTTTTGGCTATGTTGGGTCTTCATGGCTGTGTGCGGGCTTTCTCTAGTTGTGACGAGTGGGGCTATTCTTTGTTGCAGTGTGTGGGCTTCTCACTGCAGTGGCTTCTCTCTGCTGCAGAGCACGGGCCCCAGAGCACACAGGCTTAAGTAGTTGTGGCACGCAGGGTCAGTAGTTGTGGCTCATGGGCTCTAGAGCACAGGCTCAGCAGCTGCGGTGCATGGGCTTAGTTGCTCCGCAGCATGTGGGATCTTCCCGGATCAGGACTCGAACTCGTGTCCCCTGCATTGGCAGGCGGATTCTTGACCACTGTGCCACCAGGGAAGTCTGGCTTTAAAGGTTTTTTGTTTTTTTTTTTGCGGTACGCGGGCCTCTCACCGCTGCGGCCTCTCCCGTTGAGGAGCACAGGCTCCGGACGCGCAGGCCCAGCGGCCATGGCTCACGGGCCCAGCCGCTCCGCGGCATGTGGGATCTTCCCGGACCGGGGCACGAACCGGCGTCCCCTGCATCGGCAGGCGGACTCTCAACCACTGCGCCACCAGGGAAGCCCGGCTTTAAAGGTTTTGACAGAGACACCAATCAAAGGACTTAAGTGAGATAACAGATATGATGAATACACTGTGAAAGGTCAGGAGTATAGTAGTATTACAATTGTGATGGTCATTATTAAGGATTTACAAATAATGTATTAGGTCAGGGTATAGGATAATAGTTGAACTAAGTCACATAAGATGCTATAGTGTTATTCTGCCATTTCCCCGTGGCTGGAATGAGAAAACAATACGGATCTAAGAGACAATTATGAATACTGAAAAGCTTCTTCCTCCACATGAACTAGCATGTTCCCTTTTATTAAATCAAAAGAACTATAAAATCTATTTTCATAATAATAAAATAGATTGTTTTTACTCTCAAATATCAGAATACTGAGATCTATATTCAATGTTCAATTACAACAATCATCTAGTCCCAAATTTTTAAGATTCCCTAAATGGGTTTTTATCTCATTCATAGTAAGTGTACCATAAATATTTGATAACTTAAATTTTATCTTTAATTTCCATGTTAAGATTTGAGGCAGCCCACACTCCCACCCCTCCTTCCAGAATAGAATGTTTCAATTGCACATTTTATAAAACTTAACTCTCTCAATTACTGAGGCTACAGTGAGTTTTCTCTCTCTCTCTCTTTTTTTTTTAAGATTGCAGAAGCCATTCTTTACTCCTTTTCTGTCTCTAAAAATTGCTGGCTAAACTTGTTCTTGTTTATTACTAAAGTAAGCCAACAATAAGGTAGTCAACAAAGAAAAACAAACTAAATAGTTTATTTGCTGACTAAAATTGGATATAAAGTTTGAGAAGAATAAACAAAAACCATAGTATCACTCATGTCTCTCTTAGGCATACAGCTCCTTGCATTAAAAGAAATGATCAAAAGTGTATTTAGTTGTTGTAATAGGCTTTTAAAAACACTCCCATCATTTACAGAAAATGGAAATAAATACAAAAGTACTTAATTATTTAAATTGTTATTTTAAAATTATTTTCACACCACACCATTTTTAAATGCCTACTTTTATCACCAAGTATAAATTTTGAAAGACGGGTATGGATATGGAAAAGACTTTATAAAAAACAAGATGTGACCTACTTTCCCATTTACTATGTACAGTTTTCAGAAAGCATTTTGCAATGGCTGTCCACAAAATTTTACAGCAGCTTCATTTTCCACTGCTTACCCTGGCTCCTGCTTGGAAGTCTATGCTTGCTGGATGCTCTCATCTGGTCTAGAGATTATAGCATATGGTAATATTGAATAAATGCAGAGACAAACAGTGCTAAACAATGGCAAACGCTCAGTGAAACACCAACAATACAGATTGCTCTGTACAGACTGCCTTGGCTGTATGAACAACATATACATTTAGAAACCCAGCTAGTAATTTAGAAATTAGTACACACACCGTTTGTTTCCTGACATTGAAGAGCTCAAATTTGCAAGCTTCCATTACATTACAATGGGTTTTGGCATATCACTTTTTTAAAAGAGAGACTATTTGTAAATTGTAGAAGTGTACAAATGATATGTTTTTAAAAAATTACACAGAAAACAACCTTATCTGCAAAGTCCAAGGAGATAAGGAATTTAAATAAATATAATCATGTCAAATCTATATATGTCTATTTCTCATCCACATTCCATTTTTTAAAATCCTCTATTTACCAGTTACTTTTTTATACTATATTTTTCTTAAGGATTTTGCTGAAGCTTTCCTCTTACCACAGAGTTTCTATAACAAAAAAGCAACTATCACTTACACACTAGTTATTATGGTATTTAATTATAGTTAAACTTTAAAGAGCATGTTTTCAAAGCATTCTGCTGTCATTAAGTAGTCACTGATGCCAATTTTGAGGAAAGCAAGAATGGATATTTCCCAGGCTTAACCCAAACTTTTTCACATTCTCTGAAATTTCCTAGCAATTAAAATCTAGTGGGTCACTAATTACAGTCCTAAGACCAACATTTAAACCACAGCAAATTATAAACACTATAAACTATAATAGCTACAATTACAAGCCACTATTCAGCTAAAAATAGTAGTTATCTAGTGACAAATGTATAAATTCAATTCATTTAGAGTAAACGTCTAAATTTTTTTACTTTCATTTTCTCCTTTAAGAAGTTGAAAAACAACTCAATAACTTCTGTGAATTTAGACACTAAGATTTGGAGGGAGGAGAAATGCACCATATTCTCAACAAGTACAGAACAGCACTCTGTTACTACAACTAAGCAAATGTTGACAATTTTACGGTATCAAATCTCAAATCATCTTGATAACTTCTCTCCCTTCTTAGCAATTCTCTTTCCTCCTTTCTAAATTTAGGTAATGTCGTTCTATGTGAATAAAAACGACAACAAAAAGAATCAAAACCAAAACAATAGCAAAAAAGAGTTCAAGGTACAAATGATGTGTAAATGGCAAGTCCTTGGGGGCAGAGGAGATCCACATGCCAGGCACCTCCTCCTGTGAGTATGGCAATTAGAAAGTGCCATTGGACTGCTACTGAGCCTTGAGCTACATAGAGGGAACACAGCAGAGATAGCAGATACAAATATATTTTTAAAGCAACTGAATTAAAACTATTGGTGTCCTTTAAATAGCTGACACATCTATGAAGCATCTAAGACTAAGTTACTTTGCATTCCCTGTAAAATTAGTGAACCTTAAAAATCTAATTCTGATTATGTACTGTCAACAATGCACCTTCAGCATAACACCTGGAAATGCTATCCGGAGCCATCCAGACTCACCAGTTTGGCACTGTTGCAAACAATGTCTTTAGAGCTTACAGCATCCCAGCAACACTTCACGTAAGGCTATCATTTATTTCAAAAGGCATTTCCAACAGAACTTTTTCTGATTACTTTGAGATGTCTGATAAGCACTTTCCAGTAACATTATCTGCCAGTCTTGGAGAACTTACTTTTGACTGTAAGAACTGCTGTACAGTGCCCAGATGCTGAAAAGTGGTGAACTGTTTAGGGTTCCTTCCAGTTTTACCCACAGAGGGTTAGAAAAAGGATTTTTCTTATAATCACCATTTTACAGAGGTTAGAAAGAAAGAAAGGAAGGGAGGGAGGAATGGGAGTGGATAGAGAGAGAGAAAGGGAAGGGGTAGGGAAAAGAGGAAGGAAGGAGGGAAGGAGGCATAGGAAGGAAAGAAGACAGTGGGAGAAAGGTTAAATATAATATCTGGGGCTTCCCTGGTGGTGCAGTGGTTAAGAATCCGCCTGCCAATGCAGGGGATACGGGTTCGAGCCCTGGTCCGGGAAGATTCCCACATGCCGCGGAGCAACTGAGCCCGTGTGCCACAACTACTGAGCCTGCGCTCTAGAGCCCGCGAGCCACAACTACTGAGCCCGTGTGCCGCAACTAACTGAAGCCCGTGCGCCTAGAGCCCGTGCTCCGCAACAAGAGAAGCCACCACAATGAGAAGCCCGTGCACCGCGAAGAGTGGCCC